CAATGTTGTATGGAGTTTGGAAAGGATTTAGTGGAGGAAATTCAATGTGAGGGCCTTAGGAAATTTCGGCCAGCAGTAGGGAAGGATTTAAACTCTTTCCAAGAAGAGACATTGCAATATGGAAAGATTTCCAAAAGAAATCCAAGAGGGAGGCCGGCGGTAATAGGAGAGAGGGAGGATTAGGGATTTATTTCCAAATTCTAATGTTAGGATTTGGAAAGCATTTAAGAGGCTTTTGAAAATTTTGTCCAAGGGGGAAGTATGAGGTTTGGAAATCTTTCTAAAGAGAAGAATTAAGTCTTAGGAAAGATTTCCTATTCCAAACCCAAAGGGGGGGGCCGACAACAATAATGGGAAAAAGGGCTTTAGGCAAGTGTTTAATGCTTGCTAGATTGGGATTTGTAAATTAGGAAAGGAAAATTTAAATCCCAATCATTTATAAATTGATTTGGTTGAGATTTAAAGACTTTCCTAAAATAGATTTTGTATTTTAGAAAATATTTTGAATTTCAAATCACTTGGATTTGAATTTAAAGTTAATCCTAAATATATTTAATCCATATTAGAAAATAAGGGAGAAGAGGGGGAAAACCAAAGGGCCTGGCGGCTAGGGTGGAGGTGGCTGCCGGTCTTAGTAGAGTGGGGGTGGGGTCGGTTGGGTGATGAGGAAGGGATTCGGTGAGGGGAAGGAGGTTTGACCGTGGATGGAGGGAAGGGGAAGTAGTATGGCCGGAGGTGATGGTGGGAGGAGGGAAAGAAAGAGATAGAAAATAAGAACCACGAACCCGACTCGTCTAGGTTGGTGGGTGATACGCAATCTTCCCTCTCTTGGAGATTCACCACTCAAACTCACAAGCCCTCAAGAGAACTCAAAACCGAAGAAGAAAATTTCGCAATTAATCATTCATTCATTACTTTGAAAGAAAGACAAGGGACTTTAAATAGCCTCGTACACAAAACTAAAAAAAAGAAAAGAAAAGAAAAGACGACAATGCCCTCGGGGCTTACATACGACATCCCTTACTAAAAAGGTACAACGGGAAATTAAAACAAATGCAACAATAACATAAATAAGAAAATAAATAAATCAAAAGTATAAAGACTCGATCGTGGCCGTAGATCGACAGCCACGCCTCTGATAAACTTTCCATGATCTGATGTCCCCATCAGAGTAGCCTTAGATGGTTTGTTCATATAAAACATCAGCCTTCCAATGACTCGTTTAGGAGAGTAGATGTATTAGATTTTTCTTATGTTAAGAAAGGTAGAGGTTAACCTAAAAAGACTTAGTTAGAAAATGTTAGAAATTGTATTTTTTTATTAGATTTAAATAAGAATTTGAATCTTAACTGGACACAATGGAGAAAAATGATTCATATAGCTGACCCTACGTATTAGGATAAATGCTTGATGTTGTTATTGTTCTTGTATGCCCTAGTTGATGGATGTGTGTTGCTAAGGAGGATGTGCTGCTTTTACTCATATAAGTGGGGTGTTTATGGATTTTATGTTAGGGAAATGAGACTTGAGGAAGTTGTTGGATCTGCTTTGCCATTGGGTTAGGTGATTTCATAGATGACTTCAATTGTGGGGGAGTAAGGTGTCACACCTTGGGATCTAAGTCGGAAGAATTGTATTTTTTATAATTACATTTACAACCATTTAATATGAACTTACAAATTTCATAGAAATCGTAGAAAGACAAACAACATTTTAGTTATGTTTATACAATATGTACAAATAGTACAAGCCCAAAATGATACATGTACAATAATCATGGAATAAAATAAACTAACTCATCTCAATGGTCATATGACTACAAAATGGAAAGGCTACTAGAAGCCAATACACGGATCATCCTCAAGCTTCCTTACCTTTCCCTAAAAATATATAAAAACTACATAATGAGTATTATAAATCAGCAAGTAACAAAAATCTACAACTGAAATCGGTGCATATCATAAACTGAACCATATCAATAACTTATTAAATAACATGGTGGCATTTCAATTTTACATCAATATGTTAGATATCAATTTAGCATTCAAAATCAGTGGTCATCAGTAATTAGTTAGTTTCATCTATCATATTATCCCAATCAACAGTCATCAATTTTATTCCTCTTATGTGTCATATACTATCAGTGCATGTATCCATATCGTATGTTATGAGAAAAATATCAAAATGATCCCTCAACTTTTAGTGATGGATCAAAATGGTCCCCAACTCTTATGAGGGACCAATTTGGTTCCTCAACTCTTCCAAATGGGATCTTTTTGGTCCTGTCATCTAATGGTAGAATTTATGGTGTGAAGTATGAGGGTAATTTGATCATTTTTAATTAAAATATTTAATAAATATAATTTTTTAGGGATTATAATTTTTGTAAAAAAATTTATTAAACTTTTCTTTAAGAAAAATTATAAATAAATTTAGTTTCAATAATTTCACTATTTTTAAAATGTTTATATTATGTATTGTACAAGCTCTAAAGGCAAGATTGCATTTCAATAGCACGTTGAAACTAGCAAAGCGAGATGATTTTGTCGCACCTGAGAAGCTAATAGATTGGGGCAATCAACGATCCCGATCGAATGAAGCTCTCTAGGCTTCGTTCGGATGATCCCGAATGACTGCGGGACCTGGTGTTCTCAATACGAACGACCCTCAGTGTTCGTTTGGACGATCGCGATCGACTGCGAGACTTGGTGTTCTCGACATGATCGACGTGCTCAGTGCTCAATTCATACGATCCCAATCGATTGTGGGACCTGAGTTTCTCGACGCAATTGACGCTCAGTGCTCGATCGATGGCTCGCGGCTTCGGACGCTCGCTAGGGATGCGGGAGTGGTAGTCGACGAGTGCTAGGGTTTCGACACTACTAGAGGGTTTGACTTCAAATAATTCTACTGTGTATAATGAAAGGTTCCACAAATTTTTTTTCCAATTATACCCCTATTATGTGTTCGGTTGATCCAAATTTTATGTTAAAAGTTAACAGGATGACAAAAAATATCTTATTTGGAGGAATTGAGGGGTCAAATTAGTCCCTTAGAAGAGTTGGGACCATTTTGGTCCATCTCAAAGAGTTGAGGGACTATTTTGATTCTTTTCTCCATATGGTATCTATACACACATCAATGTTATATGGTTTATCTATCAATGCTATCTATATATGCAAGCATGAATATAAGATTCAATAAGGCATGACATATAGCTTTTAATGTAGTCTTTTCATTATTCTACCCTAATTGTCACCTAGTTGGTCATCAGTCTTTAATTTAACCCCAACTGTCAACCAATTAGTCATTGGTCTTTATGTTTCCATAACTATTATTTATCTTAAGTCAATTTACATGTGGCTTAGTAATCATTTAAGAGTTGTTAGTGTAATTCGGTCAATCAGATAAAGGCTATAACTGTGATAACACCACAACCCCTCTTTAAAGGAAAGTCCATCAGTCCACCCTCCTGCGTAGGATATTTTGTTTTAAAACCCAGCCAATATTAATTATAGTGTTAATAGTTTATCATTCTTGCTTGTATGCAAATGTCACATTCGTCATGTAGCAGTAGTATCATTTCATCTATAAATGCAATGATGTATGAAATACAAGAAAATTTATAAAATATGCAATATATTCATAAATTTATAACTATCATCTTAACCGATGAAATTCAGAAATATTCCAGTCAAATTGCTCATATTAATGACATTTATCACATATCGAAAGTTATACGGTAAAATTTCACTTAAACCAAAGATATAAGCTTTTTATCACTTTCAGGAGAGAGAAAACATAACAAACTCAGAATCATTGAAAACAGATGCAGAGTAAATGTTATTTACTACTAGTGGAACAACTTTTCTAATAGAAAAGACGGACGAAAATCCTTGACTGTCCCCTTTCTCTTTCCTCTTTCCTCTCCTCTTCCTCCTATTCTCCCTTTCCTTCTCTTCTTCCTTTCATGGCAAGCCACGAATGGGGATGGTTGGGGTACTTAGTGCTTAGGGTTTTGAATTTAATATATATATAAATATTGTTAGTGGCTCGCGTCACAGCACTGCATACTGAATTCTAGAATTACTATAGAATAGAACCTCAAATGTCACGATGGCGATTTCTGGCATTGCTGCATTCACAAGCACAGCGCCACAGCGTTCAAATGTTCAGCGCCTTTGCGTTCCAGTTCAAACAGGAATTAAATTTTTTTTTCATTTTAAAATATTTTCATATTTTCTGGTTATTACATAAGGTGACTTCTAAAGTGATTATTTTGCTCGCTAGTTTTACTATTTTTGACATGGTTAAACTTGAAAGTTCACTATGTGGGAGATGATATACTAATTGGGAGACTTAGGGTTCACTTATTACAGGAATCATGAGGGTCTATTTAAACAGTTGGCTTGTGCGGTCCTCCTAGTAAGTGGTTATTCAGTCCATAGCTGTGTGTTTTCCAATACAGAAAATCGTAACTGAACTAGTTTAGGTGCAAAATTGTGGGCTGGCTTGCCACAGAAACACCAAATTCAAGTGCTTGCTTTTAATCTGGTGTGGAAATGGATGAATGAAAACAAACTTCGTTGATGTTGATCTGGTTGATGACACATTACACATTTTACAGAAACCAAAAAAAAAAAATATTGAGGATGGGAAAAGAAAAGAAATATAACTACGAAAGTATGCAGAGATGGACTGAAGTGAGTGCGGTATGTAAGGATGTAAGAAAATGTATATTTTGATCCATATTCCTTGTTATTGTTGTAACAAGGAGAAAATAGAAGAACTATTGCTCTTATGACCTCTGTTTTCCAGTTGACTATGACTTTTGTTTTAAACACATACGACCTTATGTTCTACTTTTAGAGCATCTTAGGACAAGAATTCTCGAACAGAAAATCAGATTTACATGACAATTTAGAATACTTTTGTGTAGTTTTATCTGTGATTCGTAAGTATATTTGTTGATTGTTTGCTATATTCATTGTTCCTTGAAGGTTAGGGTTGTAGATGATGGATCATGCTCCTTATATTCTCTTTGTCGATCTTGGATACAGAGTGGCTTGACTCCAGAAACTCATGTATGTTACTATGCGCATATCCTTCTAAATGGAAATATGTTTTGAATTTTCCTTATTTGAATGTGAAATGCATGCTGAATTCTTTATTACCTGCTTACTTGTGCAACTCTGAATGATATTATCTTCAAACTAGTAGCTTTACTTGGTCATTCTTCCCTTGGTATGGTTTTAAAACTGTCCTTACCTTTGCCGGACGGTAAAGGCCCATGCCCTAAATGCTTTTTGATGGGAGCACTCCTCTTTGTTTCTTATCATTATTTACTTCAATTTCTAGTTTCTTATAGTGAATGCTTGGTTGGTTGGTGAACAGAGGTTGATGACACCCGCGATCTGTATTAATATTTGACAATCTATATGAAATTCATCCATTTTCAAATTCTAGTGAGTGAAGGGTTTGTTCTCCTCCTGAATATGAGTTATTTCCCTTACAGTTATAAAAACCTATATCTTCGTAAGTATTTTAACATAGCTAAAATAAAAAATAATAATAAAATAATAAATTAAAAAAATTAAAAAAAAAAGCAAAAATTTGCAGCTTTTTTATGTATATTCATTTTAATGTTTGCTTTGTTTCTTCTTTGATCATCTTGATGCCCTTGCACATGGCATCTGGTCCAATCGGTAAACATCAGCTTGATGACTCTCGACACTGAGGTATAATTTTGAATTTCTGAGAATTACAACTACAAATTTATACCTACAAACAAATGTGAGGTTTACAAGATTTATCTAGCATCAAACCTGTGTGAACCGGTTTAGCCAGCCAATTGTTGAACCGGTCCTGATTTTTAAGAACCGGCCGGTTCAATTGATCTCTTAATTAAATATATAATTTATAGTTGTAAAATTTATCTAAATATAAAATATAAATTAAATATAATTATAATAATCTACATTAAATTTAACTTAAAATAGTAATAATTTATTTTAAATGTATGAGTTTGTATATTAACCAAATTTATTTTTAGCCATAAATTTATATCATTATATAATTATTCTATCATTATTATATTATTTATTTTTTATTTAAATAATTATAGTATTATTATAACATCCGGTTCAACCCTCAATTCAATCCCGGTCGAACCATTGAACCTTGAACTTATCATTTTTTCAATTCAACGTCCAGTCCGGTTTTAACAACCTTGGGCAATGAGCAGAAAATATAGGAAATTGTCTAAATAGTCTTAGTCAGGACTTCATGGGTATATCATCTCCAGGCTATCGAGTTTGAAATTATTTAGTTGAGAACGTAGTCAACCTAACTTAACCATGAGAATCTCTGTAAATGACTATGAATTGTATTGTCTAGCGTTAATCTCATGATTTTAAAATGAAAAATAATAACTTAGATTTTTTAGACAAACAAATTTTAGAAGGTGGATCCTAAAAGATGCAGGGTTTACAATCCTTAGCGATACAAAGAACCACCTAAAAATGAATGAAATAGCTCAATTATATGCAACTAGAGCTATTCAACCAGATTCAAAATCATATATGGGTTAGATTGACACTACTTAGCATACTAAAATGATCCCTAAGCGTATTAAAAATCCATGCTAAAGGGCTCTATCTTAAGGATCATAGTATGCAATGCAAAATTATCGGCCCTTAATTAATAAGGGCACTTATACTATGCATGTTTAATTTTTTATGCTATAAATATGCACCAATATTTGAGGATTTTTATCGTTATCTATCTCGATTTTGTATCTCATGCAGGAGATACAAAGAGAGCAGATGTTATTTAAAAAGTAAATTGAGAGAGTCTTAATTTTTAAGAATAAAATCTTTTTATAAATTGATTTTTAGGCTATTTATCAAATTATTAAAATTTATAGAAAATATTTTATTTTAAAAGCCTACCACAGTGTCGTCCATATCCCAGACAATTACAAAGAAGTAAAAGAAAGCATAGGCAACATATATATTTACTATAAATAAACTGCAATAGTAAACAAAGCAATGTTATGCTTTACCTAGGTAAAAGGTAGCCCAGGAATTGATCCGTCTGCTGGCTTCTACAAGTTTGGTTTAGAAATGGTGAGTTTAAATATGCTAAATCAAAGCTAGTCTTGTAAATTAATAGTTGCGTTAGTTGGAACTTGAAAAATGGGCTTCGCATAAACCCTAGTGGTTTCTGGGTATCTCTAGACTCCCACTGTTTTAGTTTAGTAAAGCATCTACGATAGGAATAATAAAATATGGAATTTCCCAATGGGACTAGGAATAATTGTGATTCAGTTTAGCTTCCAATTATGACCAAGGAAAAAATCACTGTGGGTTGTAGGCCCCATTAGGCTGGCCGTTTCAGAAAGGAGGGGCCAGTTCTCAGGCTCCCAGGTCTAAAAGTGAGATTCTATGATTCTGTTCGGTATGCTTTTGAACCTGCTTTTATTTTTGTCATTTTTGAAGGGTTTTTATGCACTTCAATTTGCATCAGTTGGCTAGTGACAGCTAAAATGATTACCATATTCCGCTTTTAATGCATTGTGAACTATTATGTAAATTTGGACTGTCATCTCATGCAGCCCAATGTTGGTGAAGGCGTAAAGCTACTTCCAAAGCCTCTTCCTCCATCTATTGTCGAAGAAACGTTGAACAAGAAGGTAGATGATAAGGGAGATGAAGATTTTCAGGAAGATGAGGTAAGTTTACTATTCTTTTTCTCTCTTTTCCATTAGTATTGTTGAAGATTATGTACGATGAGTCCAAACAATGTAAGTCTGCATTATCTAGGCACAAACTTTTTGTATGAACAACACAGAGAAAACACCCCCACTGTAAACCTCAATCCCAACCTCCCTCTTTTCTTCCACTTTTCTTTACCTCTCATTTTCTAATAATGATTTGATGGCAGATTTGCTTGTAAAGGATCCATTTTTTCTTTAAATGTGGAATTTTGATGAGCACAATATTTTTTTTTTTTTGATGTAGGACAATCGTAAGGGACTCTATGATGAGACACAATTGGGTCTAATAATTGAATGAAAAAGTCTCCCAGCTACACTCATCTTGCCTATGCATGCTCTGCGGTGGCTCATGAGCGATTGCATGCGCCTTGCTCGTTGCTTCACTCATACTAGCTTTTGCATCTTCGAGCTCGTGCATTTTGGCATAGACTTTCGTGCTTTGCATTGGTGCTCTATCCCTGTTCTTTTGCTTCTACACTTAAGTGCTGGTGAGCTCAAGGGCGCATGAGCGTGCTCAGAATGCTTGATGGCTTTTGGTTGTCTGGCTAGGGTTGGGGCCATGCACTCTTCCCTCATCGATATTTGTTCTCCCCTCTGGCGAATTTTTTCACTTGTTCAACTAGCCGCATGTGTCCTCATCACTTTTAAGCAACAGTCATCGGCTTTCCCTCTTGTCAACCTGTATTTCTTCACAATTGCCTCTTTCCATGGATGATCCTATTGTAATTAATGGTGGCTCTATTCAATTCAATCATCATCTCATATGTTAATTGATCCTACTCTCTCTGAGGCTCCTTCTAAACCATACTCTTTTCTGGACGTATTTACTATGTCTGTGGTTTTTCATTGCGTATGCTTAGGTGGTCTCTCCATTTTGATGCATCTGTGGAATTTCCAATCACCCCAATTAGAGTAGCTTTTCCTCTGATACTCTTGAATTTCTTTAATTGATTCACTTTACACTCTTTGAGTTCTATCTTTGGTAAAAATTTTCAAATGATTGTTGTTACTTCTCATCTTTTTAAACCTTCTGTGGTAATAATTTGGGTTGAAATTGACATTACATTACTGCTAGAAAATTTGCGGATTGGCTTGGAGTTTTGTGGTTATTTGCAGAAAGTAGTGTTTGAAGGAATTCCATGTATTGTTCCTTTTATAAAATATCTTTGATTGCTTTTTAGGCCCATCCTGATCTAAGACAAACGAATGCTCAACTGCAAGTGGGTTTTAACAAATGTTTAGCCAATTATGTATATTCTGGTACTCTTAAAAAATAGTCTCATTGTCCGAGATAGTACAGTGTGGAATGCCCTAAGGGTTTCTGTCAAGAAAAGGGGCTCCACATGGGTTTCCTGTTTAACAAACATGGACGTCTTTACGTCTAAGTCTATACTGATATAGATTGGTTAGAAATATTATGGAAGGTCCACATCTTCTTATTGCACCTTCATTGGAGGGAATATTGTCACATGGCAAAGTAAAGAATAAAATGTGCTTTGTAGGAGCAATTTCGAAGCATAATTTAGAGCCCTTGCACATGGGATCTTTGAAGCAATATGGATCAATAGGATTCTAGAAGAATTGAAGGTTTTCATTTCATCAACCATAAAGGCTTGATGCGATAATGAGGCGACTATCTCAATGTCTCAACTATCTCAATGTCTCAAAATCCAGTTCTTCATGACAGGATAAAATATGTGGGAGTTGACAATCAATTCATTAAAGAAAAAATTCACAAAAGGCTTAATTTACACGTACATTCTAACAAGGGAACAAGTTGTTCAGATACTAACAAGGAATCTCTGCATGTAGTAATTTGACAATTTAGCCAATCAACTAGCTATGAAAAATAAATTCAAATCATTGGAGATTTTGGTTCAGCAAGAAATTTGGAAGGAAATGCAAATAAGTCTGGCTTCTTGCTGCTGGGTTTAGGAAGTCAGGAAGGAAAAACATAAATGGAAGATTTGTGCTGGCATTAGCTACCGGAGGAAAATTAGAAATGAAAGGTATAAACTCTAGATGCTATATGAAATTCAATAATCAAATCATAGCCTTTCTTACGTCGCCAAAAACTTCAAGTTTTGATTACAAACATATATATTTTTTATTTAATTGACAATGTAAATAAGAAAACGAAGTTTGAATGGTGTATTTCACTGCTAACTTTGTGCGTCAGCTTCTTATATAAGTAGAAATCATGTGCAGCCTTGTAATCGTGTGAGAAAATTATATGAGTTCTTCTCCATTTTCACATGTTATGCTTAGAAAGTGAAAAAAAATGAAAGTTTGTTTAATCATGGTACAGGGTCTCAACTCTCAAGGATTTCAACAGATTATTTGTTTTGTTTCTTTAGTTCTAGCTTCCCAACTTTTGGTTCTAGTGAGGTGAATAACCTCTATGAACATGTAACATGGCATTTGATAAACTTCGGACATTGCCCTCATCAATCAATTAATTTGTGTGAAAGCTATGGATATTGTTTAAATCGCTGGTGGAGAAGGGTATTTTTTATGCTTTTCATAAATTTATTCCAATGTTGTAGGGCATATTTGTGTGAATGCTTGTATTTCTTTCAGTTCATTTGTTAATTGGTGTTAAACTTGCTTGTTTTCAGCATGGAGATTCTGTTGACCAGCTATCCACCCAAGAGCTTTTAGGAGGTCATATAAGGCGAGCTAAAAGAGTTCGGGCAAGGTAATAAGCATTAGTTTATTATTTATGTTTTCTTTATTTTTATTTGGGTTGTTTGCTATACCTTAGAAAGTTTTACTTTGATATTTTCTGTTTCTGTCCTTATAAACAATGATTTCTTTCTGCTGCATTGTAAACTTAGAGAGTGCTTTTTGTTAAAGGAGGGAATATGTCATTTTAGAGAATCGATCCATTACAAACATAATACTGTCAGCCTCCTATAAGTGGCAAGGAAGATTAAAAATAAAATTCATGCTAAGGTCTTTTTAACCTCAATATGTGCACCACCAAGTTCAACTTTAGAACGAGCCACAATTCATTCAGACTGACTCGGTCTGCAGTCTTGAAAGGACCAACAATTGAGACTGGTACGTCAACACTCATACTGGAGTAATGAACTTATCCATTAGACTATACAAATACGATCTTAGGAGGTACTTCTCTTTTTTTTTTCTCTTTCATATCATATCAAGTCAACTTTGAATCATAACCTTGGCATAGATGCCTATGCTCCACACTGGTTAAATAAATTTTGGTTTTTCCAAGAAAGTTCATTTTGACAAAGTTCACTAGCCTTGCATCAATTATTACCAGTTGAAGTAGCACTTCATTTCAGTCATTATTTGAGGACTTCAGGTTCAAGTATCCCATCATATGAAGGTTCATCATTTTTTACTTTCACAGCAATATTATTATCAAAATCATGATTTTGATGGTAAGGATGACCACACACACCATGAGGATACTCATGAATACAATTGAGATGCTCTTTATGACCTCCATGTCTAGTGGCGGGAGTTCAAGGTGGTATTGATGCCTTGTGAGAGAAACATGGTGTTGGGTAGAAGTTAAACAAACCCTCACAATCATCGTGACTTATGATTACTTGAGGACCTGAGGTAAATCATCAAGACTGATGAAAAGTGGAACTGTAGTAGGATTGACATGAGAGTCATGGATCATCATCATCAATGTGATCTGAAGTATGAGTCGGTGGGTGATTTGAAATGCTAAGACCATTAGTAGCCCTGTTAGAACACTATCAATTCTCACTTTTTGTCCCTCTAAATGATCAAACCTTCCACAAAGGGCTTGATCATTTGGTAGATTACCTTTAAATGCTCGACCAAGGCATAAAGAAGATCATTGTTAACATTGTTATTTATGCCATGGAGTTGACATTGGGGAAAACCGCTTTGCTTATGGGGATGCTTGGTTGCCTACAAAGGGAGTTAAAAATATTCCAAATGCGGAGGTTTTGAAATTATTTGCATTTGGTTTGAAGTAAAGCAAATGCGGTATAAAATTATGGTGCATTTGGAATGCACCATCGAGTTCATTTTTCGTGTATTTATAATTCCTCCGATTTGGACGAGTTCCAAATACACCAGAAATTCATTGCAATTGTCACCACCCGCCGCCACCACGCATCGGTCTCCAACCACCGCCGTCAACCATCCCTGCTGCAAACCACCATCACTGTTGTCGGCCACCTGCCACCATCACCCGTTGCCGGCCACCCACCACCACAACCTATCACCACAGCAGCCGGCCATTTGCCGTCAATCGTCTACCGGCGACAACCAATGTCAGCCATCTTCGCAGGCCGGTTTCCCGCCTCGGGTCAAACTGCCTCCACTGTCAGCCACCACTACTATCTTTTGCACTTTATATTGCATTCATTTTATTTTAAACCAAACATAAAAAATAATCTCATGCATTTCTTTTACATTACATCTTTTTCAGACAACCAAACAACCCTTAATTCCTTTGGTACATAAATAATGTGATAAAAAGTTATAATAGCAAGCTAATTAAAAGAACAACGAACACACCTAAAGTTGCACAAAAAGTTGTGTAAAAGAGTAAGAAATGAACTAAAGACGAACTTACATTAACTTTTGTGACTCGCCAACAAATCAAAAGCATTCCTTGCAATCTACTTGCTACAAACTCAAAAAAATTGCATGAAATTGATGTACTCGATGACCCTACCTATAGGTGTGAATTTCTCCCTTGCAAGATTTGTGTAAGTATGAGAATGAATAAAATATGAAACAAGATAATTTTATTTTTAGTAAACACCCAAATTTTATCTTTTGATGCATGTGCATATAAACGAACTTGCATAAGAACAAAAAAGGTGAATATACACATTTATTCGATAAGCTCACAATTCGTTCTAAAAATCGTGAATGTCATCAAACAAGTGTGTGATGGCTAATATCCAAAAAGCCCCCGCACATGTACTGTAATATGTATGCACATAGGTACACAGAAGGGGATGTATGATACACTAGCATGGGTCATGCCGAGTGTGTTATAGGCACACACGTGATGTCTAGGGATGTTGCGCGGGTTAGACAATAAACTCAAGTTCGAGCCCAATCCTTTTATGAGGGCAGATGGGAGTCGACACGGTTAGAACCATCAAACAAATATACGGTCGCGGTATCGGCCGAGATATTTGTTTTATGCATTTATATAAGGCCTTCAAGGTTGATAATCAAGAAAATTCATTCACACAGGCATAAAGTATATGAGCCCGATCCTTTGTCGACAGCTCGACAGAGTCGACAAGGTACAATCCACAAATTGAAGTAATCCCATAAACCCTAATGATGGCTGCGTTGAATGAAAATCTCAACCGGAGGGGTTAATTTCCAAACATATCTCAAGAAATACCACGCAAATGCCCGTAAAAATCCAAAAGTCCACAAAAATCCCAAATTCCAAAATATTTAAAATTGAAATTCAATTATTCAAATGCTTAAAGTAAAATTCATCTACCCTCCACAACAGTTTGTTGAGGTGGACAAATTGAAAAATACTTCAGCTCACAAAGAGCTAATGTCTGGTGGAAAATATCACTAGGATTCATTCTCAAACAACCTTTTGCCAGCGAAGACGTAACACGTGTCCTCTAGCTGGCAGGTTTGCCGCCAAATGGCGCCGCAGGTAAACGGTTACGACCGGGACCCTCTGAACCAGGTGGTTTGCCGCCAAATGGCACCACTAAACTACGGTCATGGCCAGAGCCCATATGCTCCCCAATGGCATCAAATCCTTAAGATATGAAACAATATGATATAATCGATAGGGCACAAAGTCCTCTGTTAGCTAAGGTGAATTCAAATTTGTCCCCTTAGATAAACATCCACCTCAGGTCTACAAGGTACCCTTGGATGAAGCAACCCATGACTACCGACAAGGATCCTTCTATCAGGTTGGGTCGACTACCTCCTCTGACTAAGTAGACTAGGGACCACAATGACTCGGGACGGCTGAACCATGGGATGTTGATTGAGTTCATCATCCATTCCCCCACCATCTACTTTAAGTGAAAGATGGTAAAAATTTTTATTTTAAATATCAAATCTTCAAACTTCCATTATTCGAGCCCATGCTACTACTATATGTCAGATAACGCGTATCTCTACGTATCTGATTGACGACTAGCCTTAATCGAAAGTTCTCTCTCATTATCGGAAGGGGTAATTAACTATAGGGGCTTGCGCCTATAGGAAACCAGAACTCATATCATAAAGTCCTCACAAAATGAGGGTGAAATCTCTGGATAGTGTCTTATCTACAAACCCAATCTACCTTCTCAAAATTTACCCCGGAACTTAATCCGTTAAAACTCCCCTGAAAAAGAAACGGGGGAGGCCGCGGCCGAATTTTTAGTGCCCACAAAACCACACTCTAATTTAAAAGAGCTGGGAGAGAGTTTTAGGAGCCCACAATCATTCTTTTGGTCTACAACTTGTATCTAATACTGAATTGATGCTAGATAACCTAAAGGAACAACTAAAAGAACTAAATGAGCTTCAACGTGGGTATATGTTTGACGTCTTTGGATGATGAGATGATATAAACACTAGTGAAAGACCTTGGAACTTATAGTATTTATAGACAAATGTGGAGTCTAGGCTATGGTTTGCTAAAATTAGGTAATATCTTTCCATAGAAATGATTAATATACATCATAAGTCGAACTATTGATTTAGAAAATATAAAATTCAATATTCATCTTGATGAACAGCCATGGAATTAGGGGAAATCAGGTTATAGTTTGACTACTACTAATACCAGCCTTACCTAATTAATTAAGACATGTAGCAACACTTTAGAAAAAGAGTTTCAGCATAATTTGAGATTTGAAACACTCTAAGTACATCCTCATGAGTTTAAAACTAGAAACAGCAATAGAAGGGGGGAAGTAGAAAATAACAAGTGGAAATGCGATATTTGAAGGAATCATCATGTAAAAAGAAAAAGTCTCTCCATTCAAGTAATTGACTTGTGGCATCATAAATGCTGCAACAAATGGCTCTCCTCATAGCGAGCATGCTATCCTAATAAAAATCAAGTCTCATACTGTGAACACATTTTATCTCATAAGGAATGAGTCCATTACACCTCATTATCAGTTCTCTTTCAACCAATTTTCTATGAAATTTAGCCTTGGGGAGATCACACTATCTTATGTGATTTGAATTATATCATCCATGATTCAAACATCAGCATGCCACTCAAATCAAAATCAAACTCATGTTTTGCAAATGGTGTTTCTTACGCCAAGAAGAATTAGTCCGTAACTTTCGTCGTTCACCCACAGATTGCCTGCACAATGTAGCCTTTGGAAGATCAAACTCTGTGATCATTAAGCATATATCATCAAACTTAGGATTAAGCTATAAATCATAGTTAAAGTAATTAAAGAGTTAAATTCTATTATCAAAAAGTTCAAAATAGTCACCAAATTATTCTTATGTGATCATTTTAGTCTTAAGCTTCGGTTGGGATAACTTTCTTACTTCTTTTTAAAAACAGCTTCCTAGTAAAAAATTTCTAGAACTAGAAATTTATTACTAGAAGGTGATAAAAATGCTGTCCCAAACGAAGTCTTAGAGTATCATATTTTTTAAGTTTTGTTATTGATTTTACAAAATTGATGGAAATCATAATACAAATTAATCTCAATTTAATCTCTTGACTATACAAAATTGATGTCAATTTAGTCTACGAAGAACCATTTGAGATCAATTTTACATAATCGAGAAATATGATACTCTTGTACTAAATTTGAGATTAATTTAGTCCATGAAAGGGCAAAATTAGATAAATATGATAATTGACTACATTGAGGTTTTATTTCATGCTTTTTCCTCAAATAACATGATTTGCTTCAGTTCCAAATATATAAAGTACTATTATAACCTTACATTAAAATCTATTCATATCTGCACAGGTTCCGAAGTGAACGTCTCCTAAGAATCGAACGTTACAAACAAAGACTCTCCCTCCTCCTTCCTGCACCAAATGATGTCGGTCAAACTAATACTACTACAGGGAACTCATAACTGACTCATCTCAATGCTTTCAGCTGCACCACTAACCACAATTTCCTTGGTGCTAATACTGTCAATGATACAATTACTGCAGGAAGCTGCTTTTGTAATTATTTCTTCTCTCCCTCTGTTTGTTAGTTTTAAGCTTCGTTTGGGATAGCTTTGTTAATGTTTTTTAAATTAGTTTTTTAGTACAAAATTTTTTTGAACTATAAATTTTTGTACTTGTTGTAGAAAGCATTAAGGCTTCATTTGGGACAGCTTTTTTATTGCTTCTTAAAGCAGCTTTTTAGGACAAAAGTTCTAATTTTTGTAATAAAAAACTGTTTTAGAAAGTAAGGAAACCGTCCCAAATGAAGCCTAAGAAAACTATCCCAAATAAAATCTAAATACACTTGTATTTTAGGATGGATTAGAAGAGTAATTATTTATTATTATTGTATTTTTGTTCATGAGGTCCAGTTTGATGTTATGGCTTATTATTAGTTGTAATGTATCTAAGAAATGATCTTCCATGCAGACAGCAGCATATAATTGCTCTGCTGAGATGGAAAATCTGTTCTTATATATATATGTGTGACATTAAATATGTCATATCATAAGATAATGCAGTAATTAAATTAGCTTAAGTTATTTGTAAACCATTGTTCAAATGATAATTTTATTAATTTGATGATTATATTATTTTGTTATTCATCACATGTACTTATGATGAATTATTTATCATGATATGACTTATTATTTATGAGAAATGATCTTATCATCATCATAGGTGATTGAGTTAGATCAATTGTGTTAATAATCATAATAATAATATTTATGATATATATATATTGTCTTGTATGATCTACTATTTTTTCTTCTCACACTATCATTAGGGTTTATTTTTAAGGCACTTGATATAAATACCTTCTTAAAAATCCTAGAACTTGAGATGATAGAAAAATTGAGAGAAAGAAAGGAAATGAGTTTGGTTTTACAAGAGAACCTATGACTTTATTCTAAAAGAAGATATCCCAATAAGAGAATGCATTACGTTGAAAATCATGAAAAGGGGAAAATTTATGGGGCTTGGCCCAAAATTACGGGGCTTGGCCCAGTTTGAATGAATCCATTATTATTTACAGTCGATTACAAATAAGGCCTTTCTTTTGGAGGAAAGGCCTTGGTTGATGTAATAAATATATATCATATAAAGTGCATTATATGATGAGACTTGAAAGAATCATTAGTGATATGTTTGTTTGGTCGGCAGAGTTATTGTCGGCGGGCGACGAGGTTCGAAAGACCGTAGTTTAGTGACGGTGGTCGGAGGGACCGTAGTTGGCTGGCGAGAGTGGTCAGAAAAGATCGTTGTCTGGTGATAGAGGTCGGAAGGATTGTAATAAGGTTATTGAGGTCAGAAGGACCGTAGTTGGGAGGTGACAGTGATTAGAAAGACTATTGTCTAGCGACAGAGGTCGGAACGATTGTCTGACGACGGAGGTCAGAAAGACTGTAGTCGGCAGTTAAGTGAAAGTTTGGTTTTGGGTACAAGTCCAGCAACAAGTAGAAGTTCAGCATCAGATATTTAATGGAAGTCTGACAACGGGCAAAAGTTTGACGACGAGCGAAAGTATGGAGAAAGTAGAAGTTTAGCAATGGACGGAAGTCCAGCATCAGGCAGAAGTCCAACGACGGACGGATGTCATGTGTTGGATAGAAGTTCAACGTCGGGTAGAAGTTTGATGAAAATCCAGCAACGAGTAGATGTCCTATGACGAGCGGAAGTCCAGCATCGTGTAGAAGTCCGACGAAAGTCCAACGACGGGCAGAAATCATGCGACAGGCGGAAGTCTGGCGTCAGGTAGAAATCCGACAACGAGCAGAATTCCGGCAACGAGTGGAAGTCCAATGATGGATTAAAGTCCGACGAAAATCTGGCGTTGTGCGGAAGTCCGATGATGGGCATAAGTCTGGCATCTGGTAGAAATCCGACGAAAGTTCGGTGACTAGCAGAAGTCCGGCGACGGGCAGAATTTCAGTGTTTGGTAGAAGTCCGACGAAAGTCGAACGACAGATAGAAGTCCGGTGTTGGGTAGAAATGTTTCGACGGGCGGAAGTTCGGTGTCGGGTAGAAGTCCGGCAACGGGTAGAAGTTTGGCATCATGTAGAAGTCCGATGAAAGACCGACAACGGACAGAGGTCCGGCGTTGGGTAGAAATCTGGTGTCGGGTAGGTGTACGGCGACGAGCGGAAGTTCAATGTCGGTCGGTGGCCGGGAGGTGGTTGAGGAGGAACTTGGTGGCAAGAGAAATATATGATTTCTCTTCCTCTCCTCTCTTCTTTCTCTCCTTGCTTGGGGCATCTTCCTCCTCCCCCTCTTAATGAAGAATGAGAGATCTATTTATAGTTTTTTGATAGTGACATGATTAATAAATAAGGAGAAGATCATGAGCATGTTGGGAGTGGTTTGAATAGATTGTCGTTGTTGAATCCCTCAATTGTGGACCGTTTATTGGACATTTGAATGTCATAATGATATCGGAATTTGATGATCTTGGGCTCATTGGATTCATCTCGTCAAGCCGCTCGATTCGACTACAAGCACATTATGTTTGGAAACTATTTGATAATCCAAATTATAGATTGAACCTTCCAAATGTGTTTCGGGTCTTTGATTTGGAGCCATTTGAGCTCAGGTTTAGTCGAATTTGGTGTCATTGGATTCATATTTCTGAGACGTTCAGTTCTACTATAAGTTTGTTGAAACTAGAGTTCAGATTGTCTCCGATTTTTTTGATGTTTTCAACTTGATTTTGCCTCGAAACTCTTGCTCGATCAAGATAATTTTTTGTGATATATCAGTGATAATTTTATTATCGATTCTCGTAGAGTATTCTAAAAGAAATTTACTAGTCCTCAACCTTAAATTTATTTCACTAATTATCTTTTAAGAAAAAATAAAAAAAACAATAAAAAATATTTTAATCATCTAATTTTCAAAATAAAAGTTTTATTTTATATTTATTTATAAGTTATTTGAGAAACTTGCACACCAATTCAACTCCTCTCTAGGTTTGTCATTCACTTGATTATGTTCAATGCTGGAGGTCAGATCACAAAATTTTGAAGTTGTTGAATTGGCTTTAGTTATTGGTTTTGGGGCTTGGAAAAGTTGTCTTAGGAGGTATTCAGGGAGATGAGCTGATGTAGTAAGCTAATTAATTAGTACTTATATGGGGAAAAGTTTTTAATCATTTTTTAAAAAAAATTGACTAGATTGACAGGTCTGACCGATTTAATCCATATACAAAACTATTTTTGTGTAAAACTCAATTGAAATGGTTAAAACAGTGGTTGAAGTAGTGAATTGATGAATAAATGCCTATTCTGAAGAAATCTGGCATAGGGGTGTGGACAACTTTGAGTTGAGTCGAGTAATGACATTATCGAGTTGAACTCGTTTAGCTCATACTGAACCTGACTTGGAGCTTGAGCTTGTTTGTAAGCTCGAACTCGACTTGATGTATGAAATTCTAGCTTGTGCTCGGCTTGATTACTTGAGTTCATTTAAAATACTCAAGTTTGGCTCGATTGAAAAACTTGAACTTGAATCATTTTTGTTATCGTAAAAATTCTTAAGAAAAATGTATATTAAAAACTTTTTAAAATATATTTTAAAATCGAGTAGCTTGATGAGCTAACTAGTCGAGTTGGACTAAGTTCGAACTCAACCTTGTTTAGTAAACGAGTTCGATTACAAGCTCCAGTTCGAATTTGAAACTCAATAAGCTCTTTAGAACGTCGAGTTTGAGCAAGCTTGACACACTTACACCGCTAATTGCGCACAATCGTCAAGCTACTCCTTTTGCCTAACGGACCATGATCGTTGGTTCAATTTGAATGTTGAAGGAGTTTATGTAATCTTTTTCAAATTCTCAATGGAGTAAATATAGTCCTAACGCAAACTCCTCTTATAAGTACATATTATTATATAAATAATTGGTATATTTTTCTAGATATTTCTAATACTATTATGCCATTTAAGTGATATATACATACATTAATATTTGTTATATCATTTGATTTTACCAATGATTCAACACTAGTTAAAGTTTTGAATGGTGAACATTTTCTTTTTTGGTTCAATGTCCAATTTTAAAAACTTGATTTTAAGAAAGCAAGCCTAGAAATGTCATTCAAGGTGTGCACTAAAAGGGATGATTTATGAAACCAAAATTTATGTTATCTTTATATGATATTTTGTAGGGGTGTCAATATTTGACATGACCCGAAAATTCGACTTGAATCCGACCCGAAAATTTCGGGTTAGGGTCAACCTGAACCAGAAATGGGTCGGGTTCGAGTTTAACATTTCGACCCGTTTTAAAAATTGAGACGGGTTCTGGATGACCCTTTGACTCGAAATTGACTCGTTTTTTACCGAAATGCCGATTTTGACCCGATAACCCGAGATTGACTTGTTTTTTACCCAAAAAGCGGAGATTGGCCCATTTTTGAACATGAAAACTAGCAAATTTTTGTTGGAAATGGGTCATTCTTGTCGTGTCGGGTTGACCTGGACCCAAAGCAGGCCGGGTTCGGAAAACCGACCCATTTTCAAAAACGGGTAAGGTTTGGGTTGACCCGAATAGTGCCGAATCATTTTCGGGTTCGATCCGAACCCATCCCGTGACCCGAAATTGACCCCCCTAATATTTTGTTAAACCAAGATGCTTACCTTTGTTGAAGTTGAAGTATTCTTTGGATACTCATATGCTATCTATCATAGGAGATGACATTTGAATGACAAAGTAATTATATGACACACTATAAGGCCATTGTCATGAAAAGGATTGACCAATCCCAACATAGATATGCCATATCATTACAATATTGGGCATATAAAGTCATCTCAAAGCTTGAGAGAAAATATACAAAGTACCATGAAGAGAACATCAAGAATATTGAGTTAGAATAACAATAATATGTTAACTAGAATATATATTTTGCCATTATTAATGAATGAAATTTTAAGTCAATTATAAGTTATTATATTTTGAGTGATAGTAATGTTAATTATTATAATAATTTAACTTTTAAGCCAAATTTGAATTATTTTTTCTTGGTAATTTGTTGACCCTACACAGGTGCACAAAGCGGTGAAGAGGACTTTTATAACTTCATTATGCATATTCTTCTCAGCCTCTCATAGTTTAAGTTGTGAATAAAAGAAGACCACGACACATTTTGTAGTCGATTGCGATTGTACTAAGGAAATAGTAGGAGAGGGAGATGAAGAAATATGATTATTATATGAATGTTATTATTTATGAGAAATTATCTTATTATCATCAAAATGAATAATATGGTCATTATTTGTTGCATGAATCAAATTTTAGGTTTGTATTTTCATATATATGGTACAAAATTTTATGAATCAACTGACACACTCATATAATAGTTGAATCAATATAAATTAATCATAATAAATTGGACTGCAAAATGTTTATCATGTTGTATGAACTATTCTAATTTGGAAGAATTATTTATTTTATCTTTTTTAATTATAACAGTCAGAGCTATAAAATTTCTTTCAATAATGAAATACCATCAAAAGTAACTTCTATTGATCCAAACATCAGTATACATCTGTATTTATAGCTACAAAAAAATCATATACAAAACTCAAGAGTCATACAAATACAAAAATCCATCTTCTCACCATGAGCATAAAAGAATAACTAAAAGACAAAAGAAACAAAATAATAACATAACCTAAGGAATCCTACAACTGATCAGTCTCACACTCATGATCATATTTATTGTCCTGAAATTAATTAAATAACATATAATGAGCTAAAAAACCCAACGTGTCTCTAAAATCTTATAATTACTCAAAGCACGGTAGAGAAAACTGTGTGTAATCATTATGTTCATAACAATAGCAGTCAATATAATCATGAATATATATAAAATAGTAAAACACATACTATAAAATAAATTTTATGAACCAGTAAACCAATACGATACGTAAGCCAGTAAAATGGTGCAGTACAAAAATAATAAAATCTATAAACTAATAATCCCATTACAAATGTTATTTATGCATTGTAGTTGTCACAACATGACCCGATAGCACACAGGCCATACAGTGTTAGATTGTGGCAAGACTGACCCAAGATCTGTTTGAAAAAATAATGAAATAAAACTTCCAATTTATATCCTACACAGAGCCACTATTGAATGCAATATAAAGAGGAAGACTACTGAATCTCAACATGAGTTTTCTATACATCATCCAAAACATAAATAATTTGAAATATATTTACAATAGTGCTTGGTAACAAAGAGCAAAACAAATATAAAAGTCAATCATAACATTCTTATTAGGGGCGTTATCCTTACTTCTTGTACTAGGTTTCTATATATTAGGTTGTTGGTCCTATTTTTTATATTCATTTATTAGTATTGTACATGTTAAAAATCTTATTTATTGCTCATAATGAAAGTGCCATGTGATTGAAATAATGTTGCATTGATTTATTGATGCATATACTTTTATCATTTAAAATAATTTATGTAGTAGAGAATCCAATTCATACATATTAGTTTTGTTTAATATAATACATGATACTCTCACTGTCAATCATGTTGTTATACAATTTGTTATTGTCATGTTCTCTTATATAATTCAAGCTCGAACTCATTAGTAAAATCATAGACACTATATGATTGTTGTAGGTCGGTAGATCCCTATTGAATATTGGCTAACCAGGTCGACATGCCCTTAGAGTGATGACTCTATAGGAAATTATTAGATTTTTTAAGGTTGGTGTTTACCTTCTCACTATTGGGTATTTGACAAACTGATTCTAGTTATATAAATAAATTTATAATTATGTAATTGGGAATGAATTGAAAAATAATGAATAATCTACATGACATTTTCAGGTATGATGATACCTATTATGATTCCATTTACAAACATTGAAATGATTTAGCATTTGTAGCAATTTGACATACTTGTAGCACCAACATAATAGAATATGTTGTAGGAGTCATGGCATGTGGCATTGTTATAGTGATACATTGATTTTCACTCCTACCTTATGATTGGTTATATTGCATGACCCATGCCTTGCCGTTTATGCATTGATAGATATTAGTTATTTATGTAATTTGATTTATCAAACTCATCAATTGTTACTTTTCTTTCACGGTAAGTCCTACTAGAATGTTAGTGGACTATTATCACAAGAATCAAGCTATCAACAATAGACTATATTTAATATATTATATTTTGTAGTAGATTATTTACTTTGAGGTTTGGATAGTTACTTTCTTGTCATTTTTTCATTTATATTTCTTTTGCTTGTATCAATACTATTATTTTGGCGTACCATTATTTGAATTCATGCTAATAAAATAAATATTTAGTTTCCATTCCATTATTTACTTTGATATAATTGATTATATTATCGGTTTATGCTCTTCTCTTTTGTGAGTACAAAGCAAATCTTTTTATCCCTTTCATCACATCCAGTGTTATTGCGTGTATTGCCTTCCATATCTAAGATGTGACACATCATCTATCTAACTTCAAAGCCACATATTCTGGAAGCTATAACTGATCATATACTCTTCCATAGAAACTGATTATATATAGATTTATTTCACAATAATGTAGATCTATAAGTTCAAGCTAGATAATAGGAAAACATTATATTATTAAATTAGGTCCATAGAAAATGATGGACATTTAATTCTTTTTCTATTTATTTAGTTCTATAAATGATATATACTTTATTATTTTTATTTATACATTTGGTTTTATAAATGATTTACATTCAATTTTGCTATGTTATAACATTTGTGTTTGAATTATGTTATATCAAATTTATAATATATTATGTTATAACTATTATAATTGCACTATGCTATAGCAAGGTTATAGCTAATGATTTGTACAGTGTTATTTCAAAGTTGTAGTATGTTGTGTTATAATTCGTTCAATTCTTAATTGAATTAATTTGAAACTTATTCAAAATTTCCTCAGCTCAAATTTTGTTCTAAACTTAACTCAAACGTGTTAAAATTTTATTTTAATCATTTGTAGACCGTGGTTTAAAACTCCTTTGATCATATTTGAAGCTTGCTGAACCATATTCGAAAGATTGTTTGAATTTGGACCCGTTAATTCATGATGATCTTCTACAAACAACCCTAAAAAATAAAGGGGATAATCTGATAGGAAACAAAATTTTTAGTGTATTGCTTTTAAACATAATCAATGAAAATATTTGATGAATTATATATATATCCAGGTCCGTTCAGCCAAGTGGATCTTCCCTCTCTTTCTTATGTAGCTCATGTTCGCTACCTCGCTTCTACAGGTCGCAGAAAAATTTCCGTCGAAGCCGAACTCCAAAGTTCCTCAAGTGTGTAGCTAGTCCGCCAACTGAGACGACTGGTCTCTTTCTCTCTCACTCACTCTTTATCTCCTCCTCTGTCTACATCTCATATCCATGCCTTCTTTTTTTATTTGAGCTTTCTTGGAGCAAGTTTTTTAAATTCAGAGCACAATTTTTTTCACCTTCCATTTCCAGCCGTACAAATACGACTTATAGCTACATTCCGATTTTCCTATTCAATTGTGTAAAGCATACATTTTTGATTTTTATGCTCAAGGCATACTACTACGATTTTTCTATAGTGAAATGGTTTGCATCAGTAATGGGGACGTTGAAGAGCATATGCTTTTGTTCATGCATGAGACATTGCATTTGTTGTGGCGAGGGTGTAGGATTATTTTCACTTGATTTCTTGCTGGTGGGGGAGGGGTAAGAGATTAGGAGGGGGCAGGCTCCACTATGTGAGGGAGGAGTCGGGAGGGGAGAGAGGGATTAGGAGGGGGCAAACTCCTCCATGTGAGGGAGGAATCATCTCTCTTGTAGGAAGAGATTTCTTTAATCCGTGGAGAGTATGAAAGAAGAAAGACATGAAAAGAAAGGAGATCAATCAAATAATGCAAGGAATTATTATTGGTTTGTATGGAGAATATTTTTGTTGCTGATTTTGTATGTATGTTTTGAGTGGTGTTTGATAATGTATGTGAGTATTCATTTGAGAATTTGTGTAGATTTATGCCATGATTTGGTAGATATTGTGATTTTAATTTGAAAGGAGATAATAGAGTCAAATATTTTTTTAATAAAGTTGCTTAAAAAGGATGGTGGGAGGATTTCATAGGAGGTGGGCTTGATTTTTGGGTTGTGGCCAACTGATATAGGTGGTAAGGGGCAGCTGGGTGGTAGTGTTTAATGATGAGGACGTGGAAGCAAAAAGGCATTTGTTCATACAAGTAGAGCTTGGCTTTATTGTGGTAAAGGTATTACATTGCTTGCACTTGGTTAGGGGAAAGCAAGAAGACTTGCTAGTAAAAGAAATGAAGAGAAAGACTTGACCAATAGAGGGAGTGTGGTCCGAGAGGAGATGAGAGAAAAAAAGAGAGAAGATGAAATAAAAAGGAGAATTATTCGACAACCTAAGGAGAGGAGATTTTAGAACAAGTTTACTTGCAAGCATCCTTTGTATTCATAAGAGCGATTTCCTTCAATGCAAGCCCCCTCTATTTATAAATAATTTTAAGCAACTAGGAAATAAAAGAGAAGGAAAATAATCTAAAGTAATAAAAAATAAAATAAAATTAGATAATTCATAAAAGATAAATCGTTAATGAAGGAATCATCTAAATAAATCATTATTTTTGATTAGTTTTCTTATGTGTTTAACCATCATGATCATTTTGGATAAGGCAGTTAATATCATTCCTCTATGATATGCAGTTTACACAACAAAGGTTCAACGCAATGCAAATATGGAAAAACTACGAGCTGGCTATTTATTCCCTGAGGTAAGTATTTTGTATTTTTGTTCATAATCATTTTTTATGACACTAATTTGAATAGCCCTTTCTTATAGAGTGCAAATTTCTTTTCTGTTTTGTTTTTGCATCTATTGCCTTATATAATCTTTGAACTCAAAATCATATTTTTGTTTGTTATCTACAATATAAGAGTTACACGAGTATCCATTTTCTTCAATTTAAAGCATTCATCAAATATGTGAAATGAACAAGGATGATTACATGACATAGAAAACCCATTTGAAAGTTTCTTTTTGCTCATGTTTTTATTTAGTAAAAAAGCATCCAATAGAAGCAAGATTGCATCAATTCATGCATTTGTGTCTAGGCAATTTGAAAGCCTATGCCCTTCAAATTCAAAATTATCTTCGCATCCAATTGATGGCCAATTAATCTTGTAAATCTTTGAATAATGCACACCACTAGTTTTAATGATGCTAAAGAGAATTGATGGTTTTGATCTTTCATTTGAAGGTTATAAATTAATGTCTAAGGTGGAGAATGAATCAAATATGTGGAGAGTGTAGACCTAGCCAACAGTAGGGGGCCAACCCCTTTACCACCCTAAAGGGTGGAAAGTATGTCCATAAATACTAGTAGTACAGGTCAAACCCATGATCTCCAGGTTAGGAGCCAAGCATATGCACTACTAAACCTAGGGGGAAGTCCAAAAATGTGAATTTTCATGTTCAAGTGTAACTTGAACATGATTTCTTTTAAAATTATTTTAGAATGAAAAGTTCATATAGTTTGGTAAAAATGTAATAATTATCAAATAAAGTTTATTATTAATTCAAGACTAGTATGATTAAATAAGAATGCACCACATTAGAAATCAAATTTATCGTTTATATGCACTTGCGTTATGAATGTCTGAATGTCATAAATAAGATAATTTGGATATTACGATAAAAGTAATTGTTATTTTTAGCTGTTTTTTATTTCATAGGACATACTCCATATTTGTTATTATTTTATAAATTCAACATTTTTGAAAGCAAAAGAATATTTATTATCAATTAATGAAAAGAGTGCAAGAAAAAAATAGTAAAACATTTGCCTGATCAAGAAAAGAACTAAAAATAAAATATACTGACAGGGCCAACATATAAAGAGTGAATTAACAGCTAGAAGACAAGTGCCCCAAAGGTTTTCATTAAAAATGTCTAACTTGAAGGCTGAAATATTATGAAGAGTTGTGATAAATTTTCTTTCTTTTTTCTCCCCTCTTGGTACATAAAATTTGAAACTTGTTCTCATATGCTCCTATGTCTAGAAATGTTAACATCAGAAGCAATAGAAAGTGAGTGTGTGCCCATATCCCCAACAACATTAATATTATCAGGAGCAAAAAACCCCAGTTTGGTCTATATTATTAATCATCTAAAGGTGTATGGTCAATCATAATAGTTGGTCTAGCAACCTAGGAAGGCATTGATTCCAAGACATGGTCCATTGTTAGTTCAATATTTTGAGTTCAGACTAGATTGCATGTAATCCTAATTGCTACCATGATATTAGAAGAAAGGTTTTTATCTAATGACATATCCTCGCTATCAAGATTTCTAGGATTTTGTAGCTTTGGGTGTGCATGGAAGTATTTTTGAGAAATTGTGGCCCAATATTTGCATGAGAACAATGAGTAGAAGTGCCATCAAACTCAATCTTTTTCCAGTAGCCAATAGATGTGGATCCAATGTAAATTGCTTTCTCTAGACTCTAGAGAAGAAGTAACATTCATTTTGACCAATACCCTAGCCACTGATGGTTTAGACGGCTTGTTAGTAGCAGCATCCACTGAACTGGTTTGTAAAAAAATGAGCTAAGTGAGGATAAAATTGACTGAGTGAAGTAATGAATTCATATATGTGGAAAAATAATTCAAACTTGAATACATGCGGTTTCTCAAAACAATCAAAATGAGGTGTCTGCTTAAGCATACATATTAATAACCTATCCACATAGTATGTTATTCGAGAAAAGAGCCTTGAGTAGTCTGATTCTTAGGATTGCTTAATAAGAACATGAAAATAATCAATAAGTCCAATAGAATAACCCAACCAATGTATATCAACCATAAATATGTGAAAAACTCATCATACTGGGATGGCCCCAAGAAAACTTGCAAATAAGGGAGAGAGAAAAAGGTAAAGCCAACTCAAAGGTATCATCATATAATATAAGAGCAAGCTTACCTTGAAAGGGGGGTGACAACTTGTGATGAGAAGTTGCAGTCCCTTGTTGAAAATGTGTGGGGGGAAATGAGAGGAATTTGAGATAGGACTAGGTCCCATATTGTCCTAGCAACCTCATCAAAAGATTGAGGAGCACTCTAAAAGGAGATCTTATAGTGGGAGAAGCCCTAGGATAAGGAGCAGCAATAGGAGTATCAAAACATGATTGTATTTGAGGCGCAATTGGTGAAATAGATGTTGAGGAAAGATCTAGAGCTAGAGGGATTGTGGTGGCCCGACACTAGGTGTTAGAATTAGTGCAGAATTTATAAGAGGTGAACCAGGTCGAAACAAGCGTTACAACCCAAGCTAGTGATGCATAAGTGACTACACATAATGCCTAATATGCGCACATAGAGCCATATCACAAGAAGGAAAACTGAGTGCAATTCATGAGCGCAGGGGGCTAAGCACTGGAGCATGGTGAGGGAGCATGAGTGCACGCCTTATGGAAGGAGAGAGATGTGTTGGGATGAAGCATGCGAGTGTGGCGAGGGCGTGTGAGCAAGGCGAGCATAGTCAGTGCAAGGAGAGGATCGTGGGGATTTTTTTTTTCATTTCATAAATTCAACTATTTCTTTGTTGCACAAAAAATAGGTTTAGCTAAACTAACATTTAGTTTTATGATATTAATAATTTTTAAAATAAATATTTGAAGAGGATTACTCCTTTTGTGTTAATGCCATATTTCAGGATGGATATCACTATATTTCTATCCTATATTTGTGAATGGATGTTTGTTTGGATATACATCTTATTGAAGTTCTTTTCCTCTATATACATCATTTTCTCTATCTCCAACAAATTTTTTTTTCTACAATTCTGTGTTTTAAAGAGTTTTTTTCAATGATTTGATTACTAATAAGCATATCCTAGCAGAAGAGTTTATTTCTGAAGATTAAGAAATTTTTATATTTGATAATTGTTAATTAGAATTTAGTTTATATTTAACAGTCTATATGGCAATGTCAAAGAAAATCCCAGTACTCTTTTTTATAATTTTGATAATGGTGGCTGAACGGGGATGTAGAATACTCTTTTTTGCTGAAAGTGTCCATTCTCCACATAAAATTGCCTCTTTGATGGACCAGAAATCTCATCCGCTATAGAACTTATTCTAGATTTTTGAAAACCAAAATTATTGACAGCACTCAAAATAGGCCAAAAAATGACAAAAATTTAATGAGATTGGATTAGTAATTCATTTTGAACTGAGATGATTGCTAATTTTACTAACTCTACTGCCTATAAAGGTGATAAGTTTATGTGCTTGATGCATTTGCTGATTAATGTAAAAATTTGTGAAATTTATTCTTAATACTTTTGAAGTGTGGATCAATATGCTCAATTTTGTGAATCTTACATGAGTTAGAAATGTCAAAACAAGTATGTCCAGAAAATGTCGTAATCCTCATTGATTCCGCTCTCTGTATCCATCCACATATGAACATCCACAAAATCTCAAATTTTGATGGCACACCCACATAATCTCAAATTTTGATGGATTTGTCAAATGGTTAATATTGAGTAGTGGATGTGTTATGCATTGTTAAATAGTTTCATTGTCTTTCACCTTGGTGCAATTGATGAACATTTACTTCGTTGGTCTTGCTCTCGGTACTGTTTGATTGAACCGTTTTTCTTCTTATTTGATAATGTTCAGATCGCCAGAAGAAGAGCAGCCCACATTTCAAAGTATCCTGATGCGCAAGTGATAACCCTTGGCATTGGTGATACTACAGAACCTATTCCAGAAGTTATAACTTCTCCTATGGCCATGGTATGTAACTTTTGTAAGCCAACTTACGAATGAATTTCTTCATATTACATATCTGTTGATTTTGTACAATTGAACCTAATTAACCGATCCACACTTAGCTATATCTCATAGATATTTTGTCATACTACTGGAATTGTTACATGATTATAGGACAAGAAAACTATTTTGTATGCTGACTTCAGTACAAAATTTTGCTTGTTTGACAACTTAAGGAAAGCAAGTAATTTTTTAAGGTCCTTTTTCCTTCATTCTTCACACCCTTTATTCGTTCATTATCAAATGATGCTTAAAACTTATGGATTGTAAGTCAACCTTCTGGTTTTTTCATTCAGAATTAATAAAGCATAACTTTTTTTTTTTAATATAAAATTTCAGTAAGATTTTAGTGTCATAAATTAGGAACCTTGTTAAATCCCTAGTATAGCAAGCAGCACACCTTGATAACAATTGATATGATGGTCTAACACTAAAACCACATGGCATAACCTGGGAAATTTAGTTAAGCAATACAGTTTTGCATTTAAATCAAGGAAATGAATGATAACAAGTTTCTAATAAGAACCGGGCAAGAATTCCTGTTGCAACAAAATGAAAGCAATATATCAACAAGGCCGAAACCTATTACCGGCCTATTCTAGGTCAAAAATGTGAACATATCACTATCATGTGAATTGAATATGCAACAATTATAAGCAATGAGATAGTAAAGTAAATGTAGTTAGTAAATGTTAACCCTTTTGTTGACTTTGATATATATGCCATGATCCGACTCAATGAACGCAACGTGATGCAAGTCCAATCCGAAACACATCATAGGTATGAAAACCAGTTAATCTTTGCTTGTTCTGTAAAATAAACTGCACCAATGTGTCTATACCATCAAAATTGCCTAAAAAGGACACTCATATTTCCTTGGTTGATGCTTGAGACATTTAAATATTTTGCACGCATGTGAGATGAGAACGAGATTTTGACGTGCATGAGTGATGAAAAAATTATTCTAGAGTCAATTTACACTAAATTTTCTTCTTCCTAATTAAATTTAATTAAAAAAATCAAAGCTACAACACATGTCCTTAAGCCCCAAAATCAGATAAACTCTATATATTCATAGCAATCTTATTCTTCCATAGTCCATGCCACCTCAAATCTCATTGTCCTGCTCTTGCGAAAAAAAAATCAAAATCAAAAGAAAAGAAAATCTTGCAAAACGCTCATCTTGTTGACCGCTATCTCTAGTTCTCGCCTCCCTCGCTAAACCCTCATCTCCCTTACCTGCATGTACTTCTCCTGCCCTCTCTCTCTCTCTCTCTCTCTTAAAAATCTCTTCCGCTCTCCTATTTTCTCCTTTCCTCTCCTACTCATTCCTAAAACCTTTGATGACAAAGCCGTGAGAGAGTCGTGATAGAACTTGCTAGAGAAGGCTTAAGTGGTTGACGATGTGCTAAAGGGAAGAGGAGCACAGGAGACCTATAAGTTTAAGGTAAATCCTACCAAATACTTCTATTGATATAACTCGCACCATTGCACTTGCATCCCTCCCTCTTAGCCACAATTGTCAAATCCCAACTCCAAATTTGCTATTGATCTCCATCAACCTCAGTAGCCAACACTGCTCAGCATCTCAATCTCCTCTTCAGTTATCTTCTCCATGCTCTAACAACCTTCAACCACAGCTCTCCATCCATTTCTATGTAAACTTCGAAAGATGTGATAGGTGCTCGCTAATGAAGGCATTGATGGGTCTAGTTGTGTGAAGAATTGAAGTGTGTTAAATGAGTTGATGCAAGCAAAAATTAGGAAAAGCCCCTAATTTTTGCAAGCAAAAACAACTCTTCTTAGGATAATAAGAAATAACATGAAAATACTCAAAATACGCCTTTGTTATCATAAAAAGACAACTTTTGACACTTACAAACACAAACATAAACAACACCTAAAGGAGCTCTTCTTTGTTTGAGACGAAAGATACAGATGGGGTGGTCACTTGCGGCGAGAAGAAAGAAGTAAGAAGCCTGAGACGAAGAGATGACAAGCTCGCAAGCTTTCCTAGAGGAAGACGAAGAGAAGTGGAACAAGCTTGCAAACTTTTTCAAGAAAGAAGAAAAACCCTAAGGTTTTTGTCTCCAAAAATTGCATCATAACATTTTTTTTCATTACAAAACATCTATTATTTATAGAAGAAAAGAGGGCAGCCAAACAGCCCATAAAACACCTCCAAATAAATCAATCAGGTAAGGGAAATGAAAGGCCAGCTGGCTGTCCAGAAACAGCAGCCAAACAATCCAAAAAAGGCCAAAATTAATTCCATAACAACACCCAAAAAGGCAACACAGAGAATAGGGAAAAGCAGCCACGAGATAAGCAGCCATGGGAGAAATTGAGAAGGCAAAAAGGGGACTGGAACCACCACCCAACAAGTGAGAAGAACCAACCATGGGTAATAGCACCAGGAGGGAAAAACGAAGAGACACAGGGAAGGGTAAAAGGCAACTAGATAGGGAAAACTGAGGGGCCAAGGAAGGGGAAACAGAGCCATGGGAAGGAGAGCTAGGTGGGAAATCAAATGGCCATTAGAGAGGGGGAATAAACTCAATTAAATTCAAATTATGAGTTGAAAGTAGTAGTTTTTGCATTAATGAGTTGAATTTTTAGTAGAGGTCATTGAAGCTCACCCAAAATGTTTTGACCCCCCATTTGCTCTGATATCAAATTGATGCAAGCAAAAATTAGGAAAAGCCCCTAATTTTTGCAAGAAAAAATAACTATTCCTAGGATGATAAGAAATAACACGAAAATACTCAAAATACACCTTTGATATCATAAAAAGACACTTACAACTTTTGATGCTTACAAACACAAGCATAAACAACACCTAAATGAGCACTTCTTTGTTTGAGACGAAAGATATAGATGGGTTGGTCGCTTGCGGCGAGAAGAAAGAGGTAAGAAGCCTGAGACGAAGAGAGGACAAGCTCTCAAGCTTTCCTAGAGGAAGACGAAGAGAAGTGAAACAAGCTTGCAAGCTTTTACAAGAAAGAAAAAGAACCCTGAGATTTTTTGCTCAAAAAATCGCATAATAACATCATTTTTCATTACAAAACATCTAATATTTATAGGAGAAAAGAGGGCAGCCAAACAGCCCATAAAACACCTCTAAATAAACCAATCAGGTAAGGGAAATGAAAGGCCAGCTGGCTGTCTAGAAACAACAGCCCAAAAAAGGCCAAAATTAATTCCATAATAGCACAAAAAAGGCAACACAAAGAACAGGGAAAAGTAGCCACGAGATAAGTAGCCATGGGAGAAACCGAAGATGCTCAAAGGGGACCGGAACCAGCACCCAACAAGGGAGAAGAACCAGCCACAGGTAACAACACCAGGAGGGAAAAACGAAGAGATACAGGGAAGGGAAAAAAGGCAACTAGACAGGGAAAACCAAAGGGCCAAGGAAGGGGAGCTAGGTGGGGAAATCAAAGGGCCGTTAGAGAGGGGAAATAAACTCAATTAAATTCAAATTATGAGCTTGAAAGTAGTAGTTTTTGCATTAATGAGCTGAATTTTTTGTAAAGGTCATTGAAGCTCACCCAAAATGTTTTTAGTAGAGGTCATAATCATGACTTTATATATATATATATATATATATTCCCTCTCACCACATATGGCCGATCAACAACCACCAAACCTCCTCACCATCAAACTTTTCATCTCGCCGACAACCAATTAACCCATCTCTCTCACATCTCTCACCCCCTTCTTCACTACTGTGGGCTCCAAAAATTCGGCCCCGGCCTCCCCGCCGCTTTGTTTGTTTTTATCTTCGGCGAGGAAGTTTTAATGAATTAAGTTCCGGGGTAAATTTTGGAAGGCAGATGGATTTGTATATAAGACACTACCCAGAGATTTCACCCTCATTTTGCGAGAACTTTATGATATGAGTTCTGGTTTCCTATAGGCGCAAGCCCCTATAGTTAATTAACCCTCTCAATCACGAGAGAGAACTTTCGATTAAGGCTAGTCGTCAATCAGATACGTAGAAAATACGTGTTATCTGGCATATAGTAGCAGCATTGGGTATTGAGATTTGAGGTGTTTAGAGGTTTGGAAATTTGGGAATTTGAATGATTGATATTTGGAAATTTGAAGGTTTTGATATTTAAAATAGAAATTTCACCACCTTTCACTTAAAGCAGATGGTGGGGGAATGGATGATAAACCCGATCAAGATCCCATGGTTCCGTCGTCCCGGGCCATCATGGTCCCTGGTCTACTTAGTTAGATGAGGTAGTTGACCTAACCTGACAGAAGGATCCTTGTCGGCAGCCATGGGTTGCCTCGTCCAAGGGTACCTTGTAGACTTGGGATGGATGTTTGTTTAAGGGGACAAATTTGAATCCACCTTAGCTAACAGAAAGCTTTGTGTCATATTGATCATATTCTATTGGTTCATATCTCAAGGATTTGATGCTAATAAGGAGCGTATTGACTCTGGGTATAATCGGTATTTCGTGGTGCTATTTGGCGGCAAAACCACTCGGTTCAGAGGGCCTCGGGCCATAACCGTTTATCCTGCAGCGCCATTTGGCGGCAAAACCGCCGATTAAAGGACACGTATCACGTCCTTACTAGCATAAGACTGTTTGAGAATGGATCATAGTGATATTTTAGACTAGGCACTTGGCTCTATAAGAGCTGAAATTATATTTCAGATTTGTCCAACTCGGCAAACTGTTGCGGAGGGTGGATGTAGTTTGCTTTAAATGATTGATGGTTTGATTTCAATTTTAAATATTTTTGAATTTTGTTAATTTCTAAAGTTTTGGATTTTTGTGGGTATTTGGATGGAATTTTGAGTATTTGGAATGGACCCCTCCGGTTGAGATTTATTGTTCAACACGGCCATCATCGGGGCGTGAGGGGTTATTTCTTTGTTGATTGAATCCTATCAACTTGTCGATTGGGGATCGGGTTTCATAAACTTTGTGCCTTTATTAGTGAAT